ACGGTTTTAAGGGGTCCCAGACTTTTTATTTATTTAAACTCCGTGTAACTCAGTCTAAGCGACCAATCAAAAATCTTTCTTCAATATTTGCTGGTCAATATATTGTCTGTTTATTAGGTTTAGAGAGGAAACGTCTGAGAAAAAGCTAGCTCCAGAAGGATAGCGTATCAAAGGCAGAACTGTATGGTTCCTAGGGACTGATGGTTGCCTACCGTCAACTCCTTCAGGTCAGCGCCGTCAACTGGCATGGTATGCCTATGTCTGCTACACACAGTCCGGTCAGTCATTTTTAGACTGAGTTCATCGTCCGGATCAAAATAGCGCTTACTTCTAATTTTTTTTTTTTTTGTGTGGTTTGCATTAACCTCATGTTATACGGGCTGGATAAGAGGAGCCACTTTAATTTTATTCCGTATCTCATATTCTTAAAAAGTTAGTTACGTGTCCTTTACAGGACGTTGCGGAACCAACCCCAGCCATTTTTGGCGTCTTGTGAGATATGTTCTGTGGTCGTGTTTTATTTTTTTTTTTCAGTCTGCTTCTGATTTTCTATTTATGATGTTCTTGACTTCTAAAAGAGAAACGGGGCTTGTAGTTCTATAGTTTGGAGCTACTTTTTTTACTACTGCATCAGTAATTGTATTGCCTTTTACTCAACGGTGAGATGGCATCCACTCCAGTGAGTTTCTGACTTTTTTGACATCTCAACAAGCTGCTTTGTTAGACGCTGTAGTGTGCTGTAAGGCTAACAGAATCTGGAATACTGTTTATGCTTTCCTGGAGTTTGTAGATGGTAGGCCCAGTATAACAAGAGGTGTACTATTTGGCTAGGTCATCTGCGTGAAAAGATTGGGATACTTGGCTAGGTAGAGCATGTAGTATGTTGTTGATGTAAATCAAGAAGAGGTGCTCCTTCAGTCAGCTTGAATCTGGGACTGTGCACATCATCCAGATTCACGGATGCTCGCTGGGGATTAGGAATCGTTTATCTAGCAGTACTTTTGCCCCTGTGTAAGAGCTTTAGCAAAAGGCATACTACGATACTTTCTTAGAGGTCTTGGGCATATAAAAATGACTTTCAGGGTTTTCTTTTTTTCTTGGAAGTGATGTTATATATACTGTGTGAGGTATGCTACTTGGTCATCAGTGCTTCTCTGTTGTGGATAGCCTGTTTGTTGGAGTTCTAGTTTTTGACTGGTTTCTAGAAACCGGTGAAGTCTAGTGACCAGTATTCTTTCCACAAGTTTTCTATAGCAACTTAGTTAACATACATGTCTATAGCTCTGAGAGTCCTTATTGTCCTGGCCCCTTTTGAGAATAATGATGATTACAACATCTTCCCAGTTATCTGGACCTCTTCTTAGTTTCCCGCTATTATATAAATGAGGAAACACTTTGTGTTGTCTACTAAACCCATAAGTTTGAGCTTGTCATTTGAAACTTTGTCCAGACCAAGTTCTTTCTTTGACTTAAATTTTCTCAAGGATTTTGGCAGATCGGTTTGAAATATGTCTATTCCCAAGCAGGGCTTGCTTATACGAGAATATTCATTGGCCTGTGGGCACTATCAGCTGACTAGTCACACACCTGTATTACCAATACCTAGATTATATCATTTGTTGCGAATACTAAATGAGGTAGTGTAGTCCGTGTGTGGGGGCTATCGAGGAGACTGAGAATGGTTAGACTTGAGTTTATCTTTGATGAAACCTTTAAGTCTTAAGGAGTGACCAGAACTATGTGACCTTTTTGGTACGAAAAATATCAGGCAGTTTTCTGCTTCATATGTTAAGGTAGCTAACTTCCCCACGTCGAAATTCGCTGAACGGATGTAGTGTTGGATTTTTTAAAGGTTTATATATGTATATTAGTATTTTGTAGTGATGCAGGGGCTGCTATTTCAGAAAAGTCTTTAAAAAAATGATTGTATCAGTGACAGTGTGACATCAGCATATCAGGCTTGGTTACTAAGGGCTTGTTACTTTCATTCTTGCTTTTCTGTCAACTTTTTAAATGTGCATATGACCTCTTGCATTGTGCGACCTATTGTGCTTGTACATTTCTGATAGATATCTCATTATTGTATCAGGAAATTATGCCAAGGAAGCATCTGTGTAAATGTTAGTGAGTCCTTTTTGTTTTATGTTTGGTGTTTGCTGCGTGGAAGTCTACTGCATACTGTTTGATGCTCTCAAATTTTGCAAATTTTGTTCTAGACGTAATAATTCAGAAACTGCTGACGTTTTCGCCACCGCTAAAATTGGATGATATGTCTGTAGATTAGCCTGATTTTATGAATTGAGTATTGCAAGACGACAAATGCTTTACTGTGGAAACAATCTAGCCCAAGGAGTCATACAACATATAATTTTTTAAAATAAAATAATAATACATACCCGTCCAAGCATCCTGAAAAAAAAGTGTTTTTGTTCTTCGTATCACATGATTATATTACTTTAATGAGTTACATTGATTTAACCCCCCCCCCCCTCCCCCCCCCCTCCCCAAAAAAAAAGCATTCAACATAAACAGCTCACATGGACACATATTTGATGCAGTCATGTTCTCTTTTTTTTCTCTGTTCATCATTGCGATAAATATAAGGCTACATACTAGGCAATCTATAAACAGATGTCGCCAACTCGTGACTAGCGTATAAGATCTGGTAAGGTCATAGTAGTTGAAAGTACTAATAGAAGCTAATTACTATATTTGATGACATGTAGTAAAAGCAACGAGACAGAAAACAAATCGGTAAATTGTATACAGTGTCACACACAAAAACGCTTTAGTTTATTAACAGGAAGACATAATAATTTTTGGCATTAAATAACTGATCTCAAATGTGCATGTAAATTTTCGAATTATTCATTCAAAATTTAAAAAAAAAAAAGGACATGGCTGTTTTTTGCTGACACGTAACTTACCTTGTTAAATTAAAAGTAACGTTTATTCTTATCGATTGTTTGCTGTCTGTCAGCTGAAGATTAGATACTAACAGCTGAGGCATTTTACTGGAGTCAAACTGGATAGTACTTCTTGAATTTCCGTCATTGTTGAAGCGATCCTGCGCATGTATATATATATATATATATATATATATATATATATATATATATATATATATATATATATATATATATATATATGTGTGTGTGTGTGTGTGTGTGTGTGTGTGTGCGCGCGCGCGCACACACACACACACAGGTGTCTATATGTGTTTTAAAGGATAACATTTTTGATACTCACACACTTTACCTCCCTACGTTCACCCTCCAGGATTGCTATCTGTAGGAATACCATCTCAAGGATGACAATAAAACAGGTACAAATTCCAGAAAACCCATTTAACAGTATTTCCATATAGCAAAGTTGCTGTAGTAGTAGTCAAGGTTTCATGGACACCTATATTGTGGCACCACAAAAATGTTTCCGAATAAGACAGCAGTCCAGTGTGGGTGTGTCTTATAATTAATCAGAGGTAATTAGCATAACATGGTGTCGTGAATGAAGTTGAACCCCATTTAGACCGCGTATAGTCCGATTAACACCCGGCGATAGAAAACGCAGTGTCCCTATTCGGATAAGATGCCACAGGTAAAATCTCAATACAACGGCCTCAACTGTAAGGTTTTATGGGGATCCAAACAGGTAGGTAGGTAGTTGTACCCCACCAGGACATCAAACAAGCGATAAGCACCCGGTAACACAAGGCGCTACAATGCGGATGAGGATCACCCATTGAGAAGTCCCAGAAACCCCTTTCAGCCGATAGGCCATATCAATGACTAGGCCATATTTATATCCTGTCTATATTCAGGGCCCCAAGCAGAAGCCAAGGTGTGGCTTCAAATAAAAAAAAAATTGCATTCCACATAGGAACGACTTTAATTATTACCCCCGAAATTTACAACGTAATTTGAAGTAGTAGTAGTACATTTTACCCCACTAGGGCATTACAAAAGCGATAAACACCCTATGACACAAAGTGCTACCATGCGGATGAGGATCATTCGTGGAGAGGTCCAGGAAAACGCGTTCAGTCATTAGGCCATATTTATGGCCGGGCTATATTGCGGCCCTTGGCAAGAGCCAATGTGGGGCTTCAAATAACGAAAATTTGCATCTCACAAGGAGATGATGAGATAATATGGTATGTCAAACACGAAGTCCGGGTAGGGTACGACTTTCTTTATGTTTTAAAACACGTTTTTTGCTAATGTTTCAGAGTTTTTTCCCCTACAATTCTGAATTAAATAAAGTTTTTAATTTGAGAGAGAGAGAGAGAGAGAGAGAGAGAGAGAGAGAGAGAGAGAGAGAGAGAGAGAGAGAGAGAGAGAGAGAGAGAGAGAGAGAGAGAGAGAGAGAGAGAGAGAGACTATTATGCGTATTGTTGATAGAAAAGAGTCACATGAGAAAAGATCACAAGATAAGCACAACTGCAATATAACAGACCTCTTTACCCGATACCGGGACTGCAAAGTGCATTTCATAGTTGTTTCCATTTGCTTTGTGGACGTAGACTTTCGGAAATAATTAAAAAGTTAAACTGTAAAAGAGAAGTGAAGTGATGAACGAAAGTTATTTTTGGCTTCTAGCCTGTATTCATTCATTGATGTTTGTTTTTTGAAACAGCTTTTATTAAAAAATGTTGTAGAGCCACGCCAGGACAAACCTCGTCAGTTATCTACAGTCCCATACAGGCATCAAACAACACAACGCTTTGGTATGCAGGTTAGACGCTCGGTTCTGGCCAGAGTTGTCTGTTCAAGTTCCCAACTAGACGCAAATTACCTTAGCTTCCATGTCGATCCAGACTAAAATGGGTACCATGAAAGTAGAGGCGGCCAGTGTCATTTTGGCCACACACATTTCGAGTGCCGGCTGGTCTATAAAATAATCAAGCATAATATGCCTGGTCAGCCACTGACAAGCTCCTTTTACTTTAAATGCAGCAGACAGATGTATAGAAGACAGACGTAAAGACAGACAGATCTTACTTTTCCGTCGTCACTCATATGGTATGTACCCAAATATCGCACAGATCCCTTGCCTGCCGCAGTCCAGGAAATACGGATGATGTGAAATCTTGACTGATATACACACACATATATATATTTATATATCATATATATATATATATATATATATATATATATATATATATATATATAGAGAGAGAGAGAGAGAGAGAGTACAGCTGTATATAAATTAGTGTGTATGTGTGTGCATTAGCACTTAATAAGGCATGTACATAATATAAATATGTGGTGTATGTTTAGCATGAGTCAACTGATCATCATTAGAAGATCGACAGTTGTTTCGGCTCATTACCTCCTAGACAGTTTCAGAGACTGGGCCGACCTGGGTCATATCCCTCAGGCCTCGATGTTCTCCTGCTGCATTTTACCGAATGTTCTCGGACAAGGACAAGACGAAATAATGACTGTGCACCATAGTCACGGGTACTGTGAGGTTTGAAGTTTTATACATATATTGTCGCTGCGGTAGTCAATTAGACCAGCCGGCTACCTAAACGACCAAGTGACAAGCTTACGGTTGGTTTATTGGACACATGTTAGACTTTGGCAACTGCCAGAGGGACACTGGCAGTCATCAGTCGGATACTTTGGCTTTAAAGGGATCAGAAGCTCCATTCCTCCAGGAACTCGGACTAGTCTACCGATCCGCATCCCCCATGATGTTCCATTGCGTTCAAAGGCAGCTCAAAGCTCTTTTAGCAGCTTCGCCCACTTGTTTCAGTGACTGTTCACGCTCGTTACCTAGCAAACCCAGCTGCTTTAGCACATTGTACATGGAAGAGGAGATAAGGCCTCTTGCGCCTACCTCGACTCATAAGGCACGGTCAGATCAATCAGGATGAGCTGGCGTTTTCCCGCAGAGTGGAAAACTATATGAGGTCTCAGGTCGGTCTTCCGGATTGAGTCTGGGTGCCTCTCAAAAACAGACAGTTCGACAAACAGTAACCAGTCATTCGTACAAACAAGTATTGATGTAGAGTATGCGACATTGTTGATATTACCTTTATAAATCCCCCCCTGCTTGAGGAAGCGAATGAGGGTGACAGAAGGACTGGCCCTCACGTTGGCCTCATCCTGGCTGAGTCCACAACGTCCGCTAGCTCTTTCATGACTTGGTTGTGGCGCTAAGTATAACGTCCCTGGCCTAGGGGTTTTCTGGACAAGGACAATACGTGCTCGAGCCTCTGCTCAATTCTGAAAAGTGGGCATGTCGTGTCGGTAGTCGCATGCCATTTCACCATGTTGACGCCAGATGGTAACACATCGTAAGCAGATCTTACGACAAAGCTCAACCTCAGGGGGGGCCATTTGCCAGATCTCACCCCATTTACTCGAAGCAAGGCGCTGTCGAGGCCGATCCACACTGACCGTGCTACGACTGCTGTGCCGCTTTTTTTACCAGAGTCTCGTTTTCGGCGTTCCTTTTCTACTGTTTTACCATGTCTGTGCGCTCTTTGGCCGTGGCGTTGGACCACCAAGTGACTTTCCTGGGCCCTAGGCCACGTCCGTGGGTTTCAGTGTACCCCATGACTTCTCTCAATTTCAATGCAGCTTGAGCAGATTCTATCTCATCTGGGACTTTTAATTTCTTACCTGTCTTTAGAGTGGGATCGACAGCTACCACTGTGGTGTAAAAAGCTTTTTTGGACGGACACGTTAAGAATGCAAGAAAGAAAAACGAGACACACCTCGAAGTCACCTGTGTTTCTTGGATGAGTTTTGTTGTTTTGGTTTCCGTCGATAAAAGCTCAGGCTCAAAGGTTCATCTGTTTTCTACTGTGTGTGTGTGTGTGTGTGTGTGTGTGTGTGTGTGTGTTTTGTGTTCTCCCCTTTCTATTCGTTGACCTTTCTATTCATTGTTAATTGTATTTATTTGTTTAGACTCAAGTCACACCTCTTTCTCACATTTAAAAAAAAAGAGATATCATGTTATGTGTAGATTCTACAAGCCATTGCCGAACTGTGGGAATTGTTTGCTTGATTAATTTAATAGACGCTAAAAGAACTCCTTTCTACTATGCACACAATTGCACATCTGACTTAATCATCGGCTTCCGGCCAAAATGGAGGAAAGGCTTGGCAGAATGTTTAGCTTCTAAGTTAATTTTGCTTCCGACATCGCTTTGTTAATGCACTTTCCATTAAGGACAGTAGTCTGTGAACTGTGTTGTAGGAGTCTGATTTTCTCCCAGTTAATTTATGCCCGACAGAGGACGTCAGTAATAAATGTGAGTGGAATATCTTGACTCTGACTGGGACGACACGGGAATTGTTGAGTCTAAACTTCACGGAATTTATAGAGAAATGCTGATAGTCAAACTTTGCGTGAAGTATAATTATTCACGTGTAGAGAAATGCTTACAGTTGAACTTCATGTGAAGTACGATGAATCACGGGCCACGCACAACTGCCGGCCAAATGGAATTCGTGGGACGAAAGGGACACGGAGTATTCAGGAAAAACGAAGCGGGGCATTAGAAGGCTATATAATGTCGTAGAAAGGGCTGAGGGGGAGTCTCGTTTGGGCCCAGGAACAGTGCATGGACAATGGTGGATGATGTGTGGATTTAACATGTGTTTGAGTGTTTTTGTTCCTCCAACGTCCAACTTGGCAAAACAAGCTGGCAGGCAATATGTCTGCGGGCCGAGTTAGTTTTTCTGTCAGGACAGCTGTTGTGTTTTCGTTCATGATGCTAGTTTAGGACGATTGTGATTTCGGATAGAAGGTACTAATTGATACTTTGATATTTGAGTTATAATGTGTGCCTGGACAGTAGTCTATTTCATTTGCCGGCTGAGGAAGCCGCGAGTGGAAGATTAAAGTGCTGAGACAGTATCGTGTTGTTTTTCCAGTCGTCCATTTTCTGCTCGTCGTGTGATGTCGGTGTGTGAGATAGCAAGCGTGTGATGATGCGAGCCGGATAGAAGTTAAAAGAAAGTCATCGCACGAATGGAGGCTCGTCCAAATAATTGAGGATAGGAAATTTGTATCGGACAGTGAAACCTGAAACATTAGAAATGAGTTTAGTTATCAGCCTGACGTCGGGTAGAACCAGTTCAATATAGGAACGTAAGCGGGGAAGATTGATGGCAGTAGAGACACCCCATGTCCGATTGTTTACAGATTGAACAACGTTTGAACAAATTCCAGGCTTTGAACGCTAGTAGATAAGTCCACGATTCAGGTTTTCGGCCAGTTAACCAACAAGAAGCAAAGGAAATACTGTAGGTAGTGACAGTGGCAAGGAGCAGTCATCGATGGTAGCAAATGAAAAGTAAAAGTAAGTCTAAGCATGGATGATGTGGGACTAGGACTGTCCCTCTACAACACTTCCGAAGCCCTGTTGTTTAGTCAAAATGTGTTTCCGACTAAGGTGTGTCGAAGTGCAGTGGGAAATCTGCACCAAGCAATACAAGAAAGTGTCGACACCAGATCCTGTTTTCGGATCTGCTTTCAAAAAGTACAAAGACAGTTACAACACCGGGTAGTGTGTTGACTGGAAACTGAGATCAAAATAACCACAGCTCTGACACTGGGTATGTGTGTCACAGCTCCACATTATCAATCATGGCAAACAATTTGATGGGAAACTACAGTACAAGAAGCCTACGATACCTCAAGATCGTCACTCATTGATGTCTTATAATCAACATTCATCAATACCTCAAGTTCATTGTATAATAATCGTCCAAAACACAAGAAAGCAATAATAATAAAGCTTTCCGACGACCTAAACATATTCAGTCAACGGTAAAACTATTTAAATAGTCTGTGCAAATCTAAGTGTTGATAGAAATGATAGAAATCATTTAATTGTGTACAGTTAGCGGTGAACTTTTTAAGTGTGTACAGTTAGCAGTGAACTATTAGCAGTGAACTATTTAAGTGTGTAGTTAGCAGTAAACTTGCCAAAGTATGCTATAATTATAGTACTAATACACAACAGAAAATAAAAACACATACATTGATCAATATCCAGTTTGAACAATCAGTGATACATTGAACATTACCACGAACAGTATGCAGTCTGTTTAATAAGTGCTTCACTGAACATCTCCATAAACAGTATGCATTTGATGCAATAATTACAACTAGTATAATTAGTGTGCGGTTATAATTTCAGTACCCATTTGATACAATAATTACTACTGTGTACAAATAAAGTGTGTAATCACAATTAAACTCTATCAAATTAACATAATTTCTGCAATATTTTAAAAGTAGCAGTAGAAAGTTAAACTGACAAGCGTCATCTGAACAACTGTCAAGAAAGCAAGTCATCGCAGCAGCAGCTTCGGGACAGGCAACTAGATCAGAACATCAAGATACAGCATCGATTATTAATTTTATTTTTGATTTAATTTTCTGGTGATTCAATTATAGATTATTTACTATCAATATTTTTTATTTATGTTTTACATTAGTGCAGTCATTGGCATTTAATTTAATTATTAATAATATTATTACATTGGTGTATTTGGTATTATTTTGCATTGTTCTACTAATGTCTATATTTTGTTTATATAAATTACTGCAAATTAATATTTTTTTTCATTACACAATAGTGCTCCATAAAGAATAGGTGTTAACATAGTACACAAAATTTAAATACCATCATCATCAAGTGCCATAATTAGTCATACCTTAAAAATAAATACCAAAATATTATTTAAATTTTTGTCATCCAGTGTTGAAATATCAATTATTAACTGTTTAATAATATAATATCATACACACATCATCATTGAGTGTCAAAAAGTTATTTTAATTTGAATTTAACATTTGGTTTATTTTATTCACATTTCATCATCATCAGGTGTAGCCACTACAACAAAGGTACAGTTGTGGGTAATAGGAATTTTGTGTTATACAAAGAAAAAAAATTAATCACTGGTGATTTAATAATTGATTAGGGAAAGGTCATTGAAGTATTAGTTGTTGGTACATTCATTGATTGAACACCATATCTTTATTTAGTCTATATTGAATAGTATTATTGTTGATTGCTAATATTGACTAAATTTATTGGTGAATAGGAATTATTTTCACC